TACATTTCCATTTTTGGAGTTAGAGAAGGATCTACAAGGACAATGAAAAGTTGTGGGACTAGGTGTCTTGCACTATACCAAACGCAAAGTTGCATGCCTTATTAATATATATTTATACTTCCTTCCACCCTTGATACCTTTATTTATATACCTTTTATTGCCAAATAATCATGTTCAATCAAATACAGTATATTAAGAACTATATTATTTCGAAAAATACATTTATTGTTAAATAAATAAATATAATAAACCAAATCAATTAAAGAGTAATTGTTTTTAAGTAACTTCTGATTTTTTATTCTTCTAGAAAAATCAATTTTACGTCAGCATAGAATGTAGTGGTAGGTGTTCTATCATCTTGTGTGCTTTTCCTATTTTTCGTTTCTAACCATAACCTTTCTTTACGTATACATTCTGTATGACCATTCTCATCCTCTTCATCTAATATAGATTTATTATCAAAACTTTCCTTGATAATACTCCTGTAAACCTCTGATTAATATTAAATTTATCAACCATTTATTGAATTAGGAATTAATTTTACCATGTGAGTGAAGTCAACAAGGACATACCACCTTTACTTACTATATTACCCAGAGGGACGGACACCTTTGAGAAATATAGCAGTACATATTTTATTTTTGTTTTATTTTGAAAATAGAGGTTAGCTGTGACACACTCTGAAGGCTAACGAGGAGAATCTAGCTAATGCACGCTCGCAAACACATATAATTTTATTTATAAGTCTTTTTAGACCTCCTTCAATTGTTAGCAAATTTAGCATTGGCAAGCTAATTAATAAACTAATTGATGTTATTGATGCTCGCAATATTTGGCAACTTTGAATTCACCAAGAAAAGATTCAAAAAAATCGAGGAATTTATATTTACATTGATGATTCTAATCTTGTGAAAAGTAAATTTAATTATAATAATAGTATCAAAACTGTACTTCAATCTTCAGGTCCATCTAATGCTTTATAAAGTGAAAATGTTTGTTATTTATAATAACTATAAACCATTGGGACTCTCCATTCCTTAGAAAGCCTTGCCGATCTATTTCCTGATCAGAAGAATGAGTACATAAAGTCAAAGACCAATCCAAAACCACTAAACAGAGCTCTTATACTTAATTGGGAGGGTTAGTGTGATTTATAAATCACAGAAAGATTTACAAGTTATACTGACGGAAATCAGAAATACATTTCAATCAATTTAATGAACCAATGAATTAATTATCTCACATTATAAATTCGTAAAATTCTATTTAAAAGAGATTAGAACAAGAGACCACATCATCAAGAGTTCCCTGAAATAAGGGAACTATATAGATGATTGAACCCCTAGAACATATAAATAATGTTTTAATTTTCTTGGCTTCGTATCTATCATGTATTTATCTTCTTGTAATTTTATACCTGATTAACATAATAAAAAAATTGTCCTTGTCCTTGTCTTGTCTTTCATTTATTGATCAGTATAATAATTTAATAGTATAATAAAGAGACTCTTTCGCTGATGACGAAATAATCATGCATATTATTTTATTTTGATTATTTTATTTCTCTTCTTTTTCTTTGGGCGAGGAGAGGTTAGCGAGGTTCTGTTTAGCAAGATCTCGTTTAGCTAGATAGAATCCATATTATCGAAAAATTATATATTATTATTACACTTTAGCATAAATTATCGTTGTTATTATCATTCGTGTCTTGGACACGATCCTACAATCAATAAGTTGTCAGATTTAGAGAGATTTACACAATTTTGGTTATCTTTACTGTTGCACGAACGTTTTTAAAAAAAATCCATCTTTTTAGAAATAAATAGGTGAACAATTTATTTAATGATAAATCCATTTCGTTTATTAATTACTTAATCTATTGTCCTGTCTATTAATGATTAACATTAATTATTTTTCTTGTGTGGTGGTGATAATAGTTGTTCAGTAAAAATATAAAAAAATGGTTAATCCTATTAAGAAAGTAAAGATTGTCAAGAAACGTATTAAACCTTTTATAAGGCATCAATCAGATAGATATAAATCTGTAAAGGTAATTAATTAATAAATTAACAATTCTTTTTTTTTCCTAATATTATAATGTACATATATATATTTTTCTTGATCCTAACACAAAAAAATCTATTTGTTGATAGGTAGCGTGGAGAAAACCAAAAGGTATTGACAATCGTGTTAGGCGAAGATTTAAAGGGCAGATTCCAATGCCAAAAATTGGTTACGGATCGAATAAAAAAACTCGACATTTAATGCCAAATGGATTTAAGAAATTCTTAGTATATAACGTTAAAGAATTGGAATTATTGCTTATGCACAACAAAACATTTGCAGCTGAAATTGCGTCAAAAGTCAGCTCTAGAAAAAGAATTTCAATTCTTGAGAGAGCTCAACAATTGAATATTAGGGTTACCAATTCTAAAGCTCGTGTTAGATCTCAAGAGGTTGACTAATTAATTAATCAATAAATTATAAGTTATGTTTAAGAAAAATTATCGATATTGACATTTAACATTAATTTATATTAAAAAAATTATTACTTGGAGTTATTATTATTAATATTGATATTAATATTATATTGGCTTAATGAATGAATTAAAATTTTATTTTCCTTTATACAATTAATGTAACAAAGGCTTTGTCATCGACAGAATCAACGAACCTATTAAAAATCTAGATCATTAATTGGTTAATCGTTATTAGATGGGATGGACTGCAATAAAGCCTGAAATAAAACTTTAGGATTCTAAATTGAAAATCACCAATATAAATTTAAATATTAAAAACTTTTAAATTTCTTAAAAAGTGTTTTGGTAATTCCTGCCGTTTTTGTTATGGTTGGCATAAAATCTATTAATTAAAAAAGGCAATCAGAATCTAGACACACGAGTCATAGACATTGTCCATGATTTTGATAATACTAAGCTACATTACGCAATCATTTTCGTAGTACTTTGTTTTTTGCCATTACTATTTCACTTACTGATGAGCTTTCTTGTAAAAATAATATTTATTGTAAATGTTTCTGTGTTTTGAAGATTTTGTGCCTGGCAGAAGAATGAAAAAACTTCGAGCATAGACGATCAATCTACTAATAGACCGGTAATGGTGCTTGAAAGATTATTAACACCGGACAGAAAGAATTAGAATTTTAGTGAAATGCTTCTGGCAGAGAATATTGTAGAAAAGTATATTTGTGATTAAATAATGCAAAGTTGGGAAAACCAATTCTGATATTCGCTGATATCCGATCTCAAAAATCACTCCGTCGTCATCCATCCATTACATCCATTGGTATTGGATTTCATCGGATGATCCAGATAATCCGTCAGGTTGGGCAGATTGAATACCAACAATTTGGATAACTCACACACAACTTGCATTTATTTTTAAAATAACATGTTTAAATAATATATATTTTTTTAGACATATGAGGTTGATTTGAAATGGAGTTTTAAAATATGCTTTGGTTATCTCCTCCCGTATCTTATAATAAATTGATTGTCGAACTAATGTTTTTTTTTCACAATTTGCAAACCAAAAATGCAATAACAATCTATTTGTTGTACATTTTCCGCATCTATGCTAAAATTTAGTTCTAAGCATAGGGATTCATTAAGTGTTTTATTAACGAATTAATAAATTGATTACGTTCCCCTTATAGTGGAAAGAGCTTTGGAGTAACAGCAGAGGATATGTTATCGTTTTATATGATTGCGAGTCAATTCAAAATTCGGTAATGGCTGTCACAAAAATGTCAATTGTATAATTAATTGTGCTATTGACTGTAATACTTACCTGTGAAGCAATTACGATTTAGATATTGAGTTACATGTATTATAAAGTTGTTGATCATAACTCTGAGATTCTGTTTCGATATTTTTGCTTTCAGATGCTTTATTAATAAACTCCTTGATTTTCTGGATCCTTTTTAGGATAACGATTTCTGGCTTTTCGTCATACTTCAAAGATTTCGAGTTTTTTTTTTGGGACACGTGGCATCCCCGATTATTTTTGATCACGCATTTTCGTACCCTGGTTTTTATTATAACGTAAACACGTGATATAAAAATTTGTATATATATATAACAAAAATTTTTATATTATTTTTTTTTTTTTACAAAATGACTCAAGAAGTTAATAATAAATCAAATAATGTAAAACGTGAATTAGAAACTCAAAATGCCGATACTTTTATCGATAGAGAGCCAGACTCTAAAAAAATTCGCCTTCAAGGAAACCAAAATCGTAATAACTCAAGTGATCTATACTTGGATACTGTGGGTTTTTTGTATATATTCATTTCTTTCAAGAATTCTTTTTAATTATTTATTTGTTTATTAGATAAATCGACACATGTTGGATTTTGATTTTGAAAAAGTATGTTCAGTATCTTTGTCAAATCTAAATGTTTATGCTTGTTTAGTATGTGGCAAGTATTTTCAAGGTAATGAATGAATGTAATATAATTGAGAAACATAAATATAATTTATTAAAGCAACTATTTTACTTATTAAAAATTTTTTTTATTTAGGACGAGGTCGTAATTCACATGCTTATTTTCATAGTTTACATGAAGATCACCATGTTTTTATTAATTTACATACACTCAAAGTTAGTATTAAATTTTATATACACAAGTAAAAAAAATGGTTTTTTTGTAAATTAATGATTATTAATTCTTATATATATATATATATATAGGTATATGTATTACCTGATGGATATGAAGTTAAAGATTCATCATTAGATGATATCAAGGTATCTATATTTTTTAAAAAATCATTTTTTATTAAATGATAACAATAACAATTATGTGGTTGGTTCATTTTAAAAATATTTCTTTTTTTTTATATGCTAATTAGTTTTTTTATTATTATTAAAATATGTGAGGTTAGTATGTTTTACATCCGACATTTACAAAAGAACAGGTTGCACAATTGGATCAAAATACTAAACATTCATATGATTTAAATAATAAAAAATATTTACCTGGTAATTAATCATCAATTATAAGCTTTATTTTTTAATTTTTTTGAGAGGAAAATTATATATTTATTTTTATATTAAAAAAAAAAATTATAGGTTTTGTCGGATTGAATAATGTAAAAGCCAATGATTATGTTAATGTAATAATACAAGCATTGGCACATATTCCCCCACTTAGAGATTACTTTATGTTACAAAACTTTGAAAATAAATCTCAACTAGGTAATTATTTATTTATTTTTTACGTTTACTCACTCGCATGCAAAGATTTTTTTTTTCTTAATCTTTCTACTCGTTTGTGTATTATTAGTTCAAAGATTTAGTACACTTGTCAAAAAAATATGGAATCCAAGAGCATTTAAAGGACAAGTTAGTCCTCATGAATTATTACAAGAAATATCAAATGCAAGTAATAAACGGTTCAAACTTGCAGAACAAGCAGATCCTCTTGATTTTCTATCTTGGTTTCTTAATACATTGCATAAAGATTTATGTGGTACCAAGAAATCAGATTCAAGTATAATATATAAAATATTTCAAGGAGAAGTAAAGGTAGAATCTCAATCCATAATTACAAAAGATAATACTGATGAAAAGGATCGTCAATTGTTTGATGTTGATAGAGGTGAAATTCCATTACTTGTATATTATTAATTATTATTATTTTTTATGTTTATATTAAATTTTTTTTTATTCATTTAAAAAAAAAAAAAAAAAAAAGAAATATCTTTAAAAAGGACACAATTTTTGTTTTTAACGTTGGATTTACCACCACCACCTTTATTTCAGGATGAAGTCGAGAAAAATATCATCCCTCAAGTAAATAAGTAATTATGATTGTTTATAAAGAAAGGGTGAATTTTAATAATATAATATATGTATTTATATATTTATTATTATTTTAGGTTGCATTATCAACAATACTTCAAAAGTATGACGGTAGAACAACTCTGGTTAATTTCAAATTTTCAATTTTCAAATTAATTTTAATGAGTTTATATTTATTTTCGCACGCATGTAATGCAAATATTTTACTTACACTTAAAATAACATATATACAACGATAGGAATCAGCAGGTGCTTTAAAAAGATTCCAATTGATTAGTTTACCCAACTACTTAATTTTCCATATTAAACGTTTCACAAAAAATAATTGGGATCTTGAGAAAAATCCCACGATTGTAAACTTTCCGATTAAAAACATTGATATGAAAGATCGTAAGTATACACACTCTGTTATTAAAAACTATCTCTTGTCATTGATTATCATAGTAAGTGCATTATGCCTATAATCAATTTATTATCTATTTGTTTATTTTTAGTTCTCGAAAATCCAGAATCAGAAATGTTGGACACGCATTATGATTTAATAGCAAATATATGTCATGAAGGTAAAGCAGGTAAAAGTAATGGAATTTATAAAGTACATGTTCAACATCGTGGTAAAGAACAATGGTACCAAATTCAAGATTTGATTGTGGAAGAGATCAATGCACAAATGATTTTTTTGTCTGAAAGTTATATTCAGGTATTTTTTTTTTTTTTGACTTTATATAATATTGGTGTTCCTTTTTTTGTATTAATGAGGTTTTTTTTTAATATATATATATATGTATAGATTTGGGAAAGAAAAATCCAAAATCTTTAAATAATATAATAACAACAATAATAAATAATTTTGAAAGTAAATTTAGAGTAGTTTGTAATATAATTACTATACTGCCTTTTTTAATTGAAATATTCATAAATAACGTAGAACAAAAATAAATAAATATTAATTAATTATGTATAAATAAATAAATGAAAAATAATATAAATAATAATATATTAAATATTCCTTCCTTAAAAAAAAAAAATAATAATATATATTTCAAGAAAACACATGTACATTAAATATTGTTTAGAATTCCAGAACAAAGTTACTTTCATAAATTTGTCCAGTTCTTTTGTTAATAGCCATCGCTTTTATTTCCATTGTACTAAAAGTTAAACTAAACTCTACCAATCGATTTTTACCTTTTTGTGGATCTGGTAAATCAATTTTCATCTTGCCAAGCATTCTCATTCCATCCTCATCACAATAATTTGCACCATTATCGGGTGAAATGAAAATATTGAATGTCATATCTACTTGATTTGGAACAACTGGTGCTGCTGTGTAGGAATATTTTTGATCAACTGATACTTCCGTACCACGGTATGCCAATTTGTGAAATTTGAAAATACGCCCTGTTTGTGTTCTACGTTCTGGTGGGTCAGTTCTTTCCCATCTGGAACTAACTTCAATTCCGTAACAAAACTTCAATACACGAGTTTGAACCACATCCATATTAAGTCCATATTCTAATGATCCTCTTACTACTGCTGCAATAGGATGTTTTGGTACAGCAATTACCGGTACCTATAAATATATCAAAAAAAATTTTTAGTTAAAATTTTATTTATTTTATAAATGAGAATGAACTATTTGTATATATATTAATTATTTAATATATGATGAGACTTTACCACACTCATGAAATTTCTACGAATTTGATATTGTAAATAAAGACTCTCACTAAAGCCACCAACTAAAAACATTGCCAAACATCTTCGTTCCATTTTAGCTAACTGCTTGCGAACAAGATCGATAATCTTATTCACCACAGGATCGAACATGTCCTTGATCGTTTGGAATTCTAACTCAACCATCCATTCAGCCTCTTCCATTTGATCTTGCGCATTACCGGTTACATATTTCATAAGCGCGGGACAAACCCTTTCAATATCTATTTCTTTTGTGGTGAATCCATTTGGATTGCCTGAAAAGCTAAATTTAACTTTATTACAAAAATTTTGTACCAGATATTGGAGTTGTCCGTAGTTGTTCTCCTTGAGCTTTTTCATAGCTGCAAATCCAAGTTTCTTCCCAAGATACTTTAGAAATTCTCGATCAACATAAGATGATCCACACAAGTCACCACTTCTTTCAGTAATTTCTCCAAGTTTATTACCAGGTAACAATGTCCGTGTGGTCAAATCTACCGTACCACCACCACAATCTACAATCATGAATGATGCTATAAACAAAATCATATATAAGAATGATACACAATTAGTAATCGCTTTTTTTTTTAAAACAAACAATCGACAAAAAAATTTATTAATTAAACTTTACATCCTACTGCCAAATTATGTTCAGCTAAAGTTTTTATACAATATATAGCAGCTGCTTCCGCTACAAAATAAAAATTTCAATAAAATGAAATGACATTATTATAAATGTTATCAACGTAAAGAACATCCAAATATATAGATTGATTACATACGTTCCGAAGTAAATTCTAAATTTAGAGATTGCTTGGTTTCCAAATAGCCTGCATTATACATGCACTCTCTCATAATAGCTCTTGCATCATGTCCCCTATTTATATATAATATATATATATATATATATATATATATATATATATTAATTATTGATGATTTTTTTAATCAAAGTATAAAAATATTTACCATTCAGCAGGAACTGATATAACATATCTTACTTGTTGAGGATATTTTAGACCTAATTTATTCCAAAAAAAAAAATAAAGTTTATATCAACACGTATATATAAGTGTATGCTATGATGAATAGATGGATTAATTACCTGGCCATCGAGTATTCAAAACGTCTGCGATTGACTATATACATAACACGGATTAAAAATAAAAAAAATAAAAATTTTTAAATTATCAATACAAATAACACTAATCGAACAAAAACCTATTCCCCACTCCAAACATCCATCTCAATTACTTTATTCATTTGATGTAAATAGTCAGTAATGACTCTTTTAAAATCCAAACCTAAAGGAAGTGGCGGTTTTTCATCATCCTTTATATTATTAGCCAAATGAAGTTTAAACAATTCTACTGGTCTTGATTGTGCTTTGGTTTGATTCCTTTTTTGTTTCCTTGAGGGCTCCTCTGCTAATGCTGGATAACCCCAGGCTAGAAGGTTTAGATTATCATCGTATGCTAAAACAGTATTCGTTTTAAATACTCCTGTTTGTCCCGGCCTAATCATTATTTATTATTTGTTTTATTTTTCATAAAAAAATAATTAATCCGGGTTTTTTTAATTTATTTATTTTATGCTCTTCTCCCAAGATAATTAAAAAATGATTTTTTCATACCACTAGAAAGTTTGAAAAAAAAAACTTTTAATATTTTTTATTCAGTGTTTTTTTTTTACAATCGTTCTCAAATATACATACTGTATCATTGGTTATTATTTCCGCATTTATTCTACTTGAATATGCAAAACCTTTAGAGAAAAAATTTTATTTTTGAAATTAAGATCATCGTATAAATCAATATCATTTGTTTCTTTATAAAATAACAAACTCATACCGGAAAATGTAGTTCCAAAGTCTAAAGAGTTTTATAAAAAAGATTAAGATTTTAGCAATTTTCCTTTTTTTTTTTTTTACAACAAACTAAAAAAATTAAACTTTAAACCACTAACCAATAGCAACAACTGTTCTTATATCTAACGACATATTATTTCGAATGGTAGTGTGAGTATCGAAGAAAAGGTAGAAAAGGTAAAAATTAAATAATAATAGAAATCAAAAATTTGTAATTTGTTAATTAAATTTTTTAAATGAAACGCTAGATTTAGTAATAATATAAAAATTAAAAAAAAACGAATTCCTTCTTACGTATCACATGGTTCCATATAAATAAATTTTATGACACAAATATTAGCACAAGTCCCTCACCAACATCGCTACTCTTGTTGTGTTTCCACAATATACACTTTAAAATGATTGCAATTGGTACATCTAAAAGACTTTGAGGAGGCCAGATTATCTTTAATGGCTCCACAACGTCCACACGATTTGCTAGTATATTCCTCAGTTCAAGGGAACAAATGCATATCGGCGGATTTGTGTAGTTGGGCTTTTTTATGCTTTTCAAATTAAATATTACGTTAATTGATCACTGATTATTAAAGGTTAAAGAGAAAGTATTTTAAACCCCAAAAACAAATCCTATCGCTTTACGAGTACTTAAAGTATGTCGTTATTGAAAACGTGGCGATCAACTCCGTTGGTTCTCTATTGGTTTTTATATATTAAGTAAAACGCATATAACTGTTTTGCAAATTTTTGATGGCATTATTGCGAATTTTCTTGTGGATCTGGAGCATGCATTGATGGAGCTTATACCTTTTTTACACTCATTTGCTTTAACGTGAAGATAACCTCATTTACAATAAATTCTCTCATTATATAATCTCATCGCTTGAGTTTCAAAAGAAATGATGCCATCCAGAAACTCTCAATTTAGAACCTTGGTTATCAGCTTTAATATTAAGTGGTCTAGATGATTAATGGCAAGACGACAATCATATTTTAATTCAGGTATTTCTCACTTTATTTAATGCCAAATGAATATCCGCCTCTTATTCTTCCCTAAGGCTCCAAACGAAAACGAAACGAGTCGGATTTTAAAGCGTTTCAAAAAAACTGGATTTGATTCGATTCAGGTTTTGGTTGATATTATATTTATAAATAAAATATGTTTGTAACTAGAACGCAGTCAAAGCTCATTTCAACGGATATATGTCCATATAAACAATCATGTACAGAATGAATAGATTCAAAATGAATACACACGGAAAAAACGTATTTTTGATACTAATACTAATACTGAAAAAGCACTTTTATTAATACTGAAAAGTCGTATATAAGGTACGGAGTTTGTGACATATTAATACTAATACTGAAAAGGTTCTAGTATGTTTTGGTTCCGCGTATAAGGTACATATAATAATGTGTAAAATACTGAAAGATAATTATATAAAGAATACATTTATTTTATTCATTATTGTTATAAAGCATGTAAATCAATAACATTAATAACATTTTTTTCTTTTATATATATTATATGTGATAATTCTATTAGAGAGCTTTCTAGGAATCAGCAAAAGTAAAGAACAACCATTTTAACTTTCCTCGAAATAGACATTTATTATTATATATAACTAAACATTTTTTACTCGAAGTTCCTTTTATATACTTAATATGTAGCGTAGCTTAGATATTCAATTAGAGAGCTTTTTAGGAATCATCAAAAGCGGAAAACAGCTATTTTAACTTTCCTCGAAATATATATGGTAGTGGTATAATTATAATAGTACAACATAATATTACTAATAGAAAGATTCGTCTTCAATTGAAAGATCCATCTGTATATTAGGTAGATTCGATGGCTTATTAAAATTATTTTTCATATTTAATATACTATAATCGGATGATAACTTGGAGTTGGTGAATAAATATGTGGTGGAGATTGTATTTTTTATATTTAGTTATTTATTAAATCACTCTTACACAATATCATTACTCATTACATACTGATATTGTTGTTATTATTAAATTCTTCTTGGATAATTTAATTTGAACAAAAAAAATTGGAGTTGATGACAAAGATTGTAATTTTTATATTTATTTGTTTATTAAATCATTTTTTCATGATATTATGATTAATTGCATAATGATTTTATTATTATTATTATTATTCTTGAGATGATTTAATTTAGTCAAAAAATTGATACTTGGAGTTATAGCAAGATTATATTTCATTACATACCATCTTGTTATATTTTTAGATGATCCAATATATCCAAACATAAAGCTTCAATTAAAGAGTTGGCAGATAAATATGAGGTGAAGACTACAATCTTATACTTGATTATTAATTGTTTTACACATTCATACTATACATGAAGTTGAAATGGTCGAAATTATGTCATATCACATGAGAACCAGTGATCCAACTTTAATGAACACGGCTTATTAGAATAGTCTCATAAAGATGATTCAAATAATGGTATTTTAATATTCATAGCATAATAAAAATATCTCACTAATCAGTGATCTGAATTTTATGAATTAGACTAGACATCTCATCGAGAGAATTTGTTTTATCCAAACAGCCAGATATTGACCAAGTTATGGTAATTTAAAGTTTTTGATTGATTTTTTGATCATTTTGGCTTTTAATTTGATTTTTGGCCTCTCAAATTAAAATATTTCAACTTTTGGGCTTTAATTTCGACTTCATGTATAGTTTGTATTTTTCAAAAAAAAAATTTTTAAATAATTAAATCTATTATAATTTTCTATATGATTTCAGTAACTAAAACACGTTTTACCATTAATTATATAACATTCGCATCTCTAACCACGATAAATCGATCACTAGAATTTAGTGATGATAAAGTTGTTCTTTAAATAATGCAATTTTCTTCAATTTACATCCTTATTAATTAATCCTATTAGAGAAAAGGCAATCAAAAAAAATTTGTTTGTCACATGTCATTCAGCTTTCCGCAAAGAAAAACAAGTCTTTAAATGAAAATGTTGACAGTGAGTTTCGTGAAATATAGATTAGCATTATAGTGCGATGATATTATGACGCCATAATATTATAAAATCACACGACTCAATCACATACATATATATATTCATTCGAAGCATCAAAATTGGCATCGGATGCGAAGTATCTTAACATCCTATCATGTATCCATAATATAGGCTATTTATGGCCGGATGATACATTGATTGAGTAGTAGTATAATAAGTTACCACAAAAACATATTAATATTAATATATAAATAGACCCGCTACCCCCCAAAAATGCAAAAAATGGTGCTTTTTACGTTGCATTCGAATTTAAGGGTCGAGGTATGTTCTATATATGATTCGGCTTTACACGTTACATTCAAATACGAGGTATCTATATATTCGTTCGGAGCATCAACATTAGCCAGTCATATTTTTATTCGTTGCGTTGAGCAAATTTAATAAAAGATCTTTTGCAAAGAAGAACCCTCATTGTGAATCAAAAGTTATTTACGAATTTCGATTGTTAAAAAAATCAACCAAACTTTTTTTTTAAAAAAAAAAGATCTTTTTATACTGATCTTTTCCTCGTGTTTATTTATTTATCCCAGATTAAAGGTCAATTGGATCAATTGGAAGTCTATCGCTATAGAAGAATAGACTTCATGCAAACATCAAAAATTATTTACAAATTTCGTTTGTTTAAAAAAACCCCCCCTTTGCAAAGACCAATCAACGGTTTTATTTGTTTTCTCCGAAAATAAAATTTTTCATTATCCACTATCCTCAATGGTCAAATCAAAAAAATTGTTTTTTTAATTCAACACTGACAATCAAAAAAATTTTGTACATATTGTTTGTTTATCGATCATTGAATTGAACGACAACAAAATAAAATGTAAAAAAGTGTTTTTGAATCCCGGACTCGTGATCCAAAAATATACTAATATATAATACTAACACTGACACGTTGTGTGACAAGTATTTGGCGATATGGGATCTGAGGTAAAGGCTCCAAGACAAGGCCATAAGTTCCTGATCATTCCAAACGGTCCGAAAATTCAGAGAAAGACAAACATCTAATGGTAGACACCGCGCAAAAAACATCTAAAGCAAAACACGATTTCCTTTCAGTCAAGTATCTGCTTCGCTCAACCCTGACGTTTTGAACAAAAATAGATAATTTTTCCAAATGGATATAAATGAGAATTCGCATGATACGGCGATGTAAAAATAACCATAATGATAATCATAACCCTTTATCATTTTTGGAAAACAAAAATATTTTTTAACGTGTCTTCTTTATAACAGAATGTTTCCCATGCATTCAAATTGTTACGAAAAAAACTTTATATTATATATAACACAACACAATATAAAATCTACACAGAAATTACGACATTTAGAATGTAACACGACAGCCTTCTTTTATGATGTTAAGGAAATAATGTAACCGTTATTATTATTCACAAAAAAAATTTAAAACACCCAAGTCGAATTTTATATTTATATTTTATAATGTCATATGTTAAATTATTATCATCATTATCACAAGAAAGAATTAACTTTGTATATAAAATTGACAATGAAATGCGTAATAATGCTAATGCTAATTCTGATAGAGAAAGTAGAAAAGATTATTTTTTTTCATTAGTTAAAAAAATCAAGGAGCTTTCTAAAAATGAAAAAGAATATTGTAAAGAAAGGTTTATTTATGAGTTTGAATTAAAAAATGCAAGAGATAAAATGGGAAAACCAAAAAAATGTAACAAGTGTGAGTTGACAAGATACTCTGATAAGTTCTGTGAAGGTTGTATTAGTTTACAATTACAGAGTCTTTTCACCACTTGGACATCTGGAAATAACATAATTGATAATTTTATTAAACAATGTCAAATGAAATCATCTCTGCCAGCTTATATTTTAGAATGGATACCTTTTGAGCAATTTGAATATATAACAAAGTTGATGGAAGGTGGATTTAGTTCGATTTATACTGCTACATGGACAAGAGGAAGTATTGGTGATTACAATGAAAATAAAAAGGAATTTAGTTATATCGGAGCACAAAATGTAGTATTAAAAAGTTTAAATGATTCGAGTAATCCAGGAAAAGACTTTTTTGATGAGGTTGGTAGTTTTCATTTAAAAAATAAACAATGCTTTATTATATAATACTAATTGGTTTTATATTCAATAGGCAATGAATTACTGTAAGATTAAATCAGGGTTGATTGTTAAGTGCTATGGTATAACTAAATTCCCAAATAATGGAAATTATGTAATTGTTTTAAATTATCATTTGGAAGGAAATTTAAGGGATTATTTACAAAATAATCATTTAACATTAAAAGATAGAATTGCAATCTTTTATTATTTATGTTATGCATTATATCAGATACATTGGCAAGATTTAATCCATTGTAATTTACATAGTGGTAATATATTATTGCAAGGAGGTAATTGTTATATAACAGATTTGGGATTATGTGGACCAGTTGATGATGAATCATCAAATAAAGTCTATGGGATTGTATCATATGTTGCACCTGAGCTACTTAGAGGCAAAATTGATACAAAGAACACCAAAGAAACTGATATCTATAGTGTTGGGATGTTGATGTGGGAAATATTTGCAGGTCATCCACCATTTAATGATAGAGGTCACAATCATCGCTTGATTTTTGATATATGTGAAGGTTTACGACCACCAATACTACCTGGAATGCCTGATGATTATGTACAAATGATGCAGAGGTGTTGGGATGTGGATCCATCAAAAAGACCAACTAGTGAAGAGCTTTGGACATTTGCTAAAAATAAATATGACGAAATTATTAAAAATGAAATTCTTGAAAATAAAAGGTTAACAAATAAGAACTTAAAAAATAATAGTTTAATAAAAAGATTATTCGGATTTTTTAAACATGAAATTGATTTTAATGATGATAGTAGCAGCAGCAGCATTGGTAATGATCCGCAACAAGCACACAAATCACATCCAGATGCACATCATACAAGTAGAATATTAGATGAAGAGATTGCTAAATCTAAAAGCTTAAAAATTACAAGTAATAGTTCGTTAAATAATCTTGATTGTGACTCTTTTTTCTAAATGTGAATAAAAATTTCATTATTAATTGGAAATTACTATCCATTATTAACAATATTAATTAATTAATTAATAAGCATTAGATTCTAGTAACAATAGTAATTTAATCTTCATTATAAATTTATTATCTTATTTTTATTTATCATCCTTATTTGATTTCTTATCTTGTAACAATATTTTGAAATAAACTTTTTACAATTTTTCGATTCTTGTTAAATAGTGATATTGCGAGGTATCATTTAGGTTAATTAACAATTATGGTTTATAAAGTCCCCTTATTCACTTGTTTCAGTTGTTTACATTTATTGGCGATTGCAAATTCACTTTGGTTTACTTGCAAAACAACTTAAGTAGCTTGTTTAACAGCCTTACGCTTACGATTACAATAATACTACCAGCATTTCCGACTAACCTTTGCTTACTCACTAAAGCAAATTACTTCATTAATCGTTTTTAACACTCACTAGTTAACCAACGTTAGTCCTAACTTTGCTCATTAAAGCAGATAAACATGGCTTTTTACCAAAGCTCTACAATTGTTGTTGCCTTTCATCAAGGCACTAACTACACTTGTTGCTTTTATCAAAGCGTTTCAAACATAAAAAATAACAACAATGTTTTTGATTTTATACTTATTTCTAAAAGTCTATTAACGATTAATTTTATTTAGATAAAAATAATGATTCTATCAGATTTTTATTTTATTATTTTCCTCTGCGAGAACCCGAAGTTATCCTTGATGAAATTTTCGTTGATAAAGATAAAGATAAAAAGGGGTTTATTATTGAAAGTAACTTAATCAATCAATATTGTTGATATTGTAAAACTTCCATAGTTGTTTGTTTACACAGTAATTTTGATAAAAAGCTAATCATTATTGGCTCGTTTTAGCATGACAAGACAGAGCACATCGAGAGCTTTCAGAAAATATATGGCTTGTGTATAGGTTTCTTGGGAAAGGAAGAAATAAAAGTAAAAAACGGTTTTATAAGTTATTTATTATTACAAGAACTTTTCAACAAAATTTTTTTTTGGATTATTGTCTTCTAACTTTTGTTATATTAACTAGAGAATACAATCTTTTAATTAGAGTTTCTACTCAAAAGGTTACAAAAGAAAATATTTTAATATATTGATTAATAAATTAATGATAATTATTATATGTGAAATAGCGTTACGTTGCAGATTCTATACTTATTGCAGAAGATCAAGGGCTAGGAAAGATTCTCAAAGCGATAATATTTTATTAAAAAAATTTTTCGGCCAGAACATATAGTGTATAAAATAATTTATACCATCAGTTGAAAATGTTATTTGTAAAAGCCGATGATTAAATTAATCACAAAGTCATTCTCCATATCTCAAGTCAATATATCCAAAATAACACTATGTACAACTTTGTCTGACTGATTTTATGTAATTCTACGCTTTCACAGTTACTATTTGGGATTGGATTCTAGTAATCCTCCCAGAATTTCAGACGATATGTTAGTGTACTGCAATAATCACCACTATCCCCCATTGACCATTACGTTTCTTCTTATATTATCTTTTTCATGATCTTTATTGCATATAGGACATATTTCTGGACAATCAAAAATGATCACCACGTTCATTACTGTGATCCAAAGATAAATAAAGAAAGCACTCCAATGCCATTTCAATAACATGTTTTCGTTTTTCTTTCTGGATCATTGGGAAAAGTAGAAATTGGTGGGGGAAATCAGCTGATTTCTTGCATTTGATATGCCAAATTATAAAGATTTTTGCACACATAGGGCTTACATGCACATAAAAAATTTGCAATTTCAACACTTCTTTTTATTGTTTGAATTTGTTTACAATCAATAAATTTAACAACGAAAAGGCTGATACATTGCAATAAAGAATTGGTTCAATTTTAAGAAATATATTGTTGAGGGAAAAATTTATAGCTATTTGTTGTTTTGCTTACACATATTTGTTTGAGAAATTATGAGATCGCATTCCTTCAGTTTTTTTCGACTGAATTCTTTTCCATAATTTTAAGGTATCCTTTTATATTGCCGACATCCGTATCAAGCTTATCGAGCTTTTCAAGTTTCTATATGTGGATGTGATACTTAATTTTAATTATTTTGCATTTATTAGGTTATGATCATTAATTCTTCTTTCACTACCTTATCAATCAGTGCGATTGAACGTTCGAAGTTCTTACCAATAAGTTCAATGTTCTTATTAATCAGTGCAATTGAACGTTCAATTGAAGTGTCGATTATACTACAGATTCCATATAATGAACCAGCTCCTGTTCCTAAAAAAACACCATAATCAATAACATCCTGAAACTTTACAGGTGCTTTAACAAAATCATCTAATTTTTATGAAGTAAAAAGTTATGTTATTTACATTTTTAATAAAATTTACTACAACACTGTTATTACCTTTAGGAGTAGAATATGGTCTGGCCAATCGTCTAACGGTAGGTAAAATTCTTTTTGTGTGTTTAAACATGTACATTAGGTAAAGTTGTTCTTTCAATGGTAAAACAGAAAGTAATTTTGAATGAGAAAGTTGTGAAATTTTTCTGAAATGGATGAAAATGTAAATGATCGTCGGAAATGATAAAAATATTTACCGGAAAAACGAAAAAAAATCGGCAAATTAGAGTACCTTTTGTGCGCTGGTTTTGAGGATGTATATACACAGAATAACCATTGTGACAAACAATAAAATGGACTCGCGTAGACTTAGACTCAGACAATTAACTCAGATCTTATTTCCATATTTTCTATGATAATTTAGTTTTTGTACATCCATATAATATATTTGCATATTTAGATTATAATAATAATGCGAATACGAGGCAATCCTTTGTTAATTATTTAAAATTCCATCATCATTGTATTCATAAAGGTTATTAAATAAGAAACACCACTATTAACAATAATGACGCTAAATTATTCAGAATTAGGAAGAATTTTGTAAATTAGGGTAAAGTTTTAATTAATATTCTTTATTATTATTATTGATTGATTGATTAATCTAAATCCAATCCAATTGTTTAGCAGTGTGTCAATTGATTTTAATCCAACATTTTCACCAGGAATTGGATTAATTGCACCTAATAAATTCCTAAAAAAAACATAATTCATCAAGTGGCAAGATGATGGCAGAATTAGCAAATTTGATTGATAGATTAGAAGATTGATGATGATGAAAATAATGAAGTCTACAATGATCATGATCATGATTGTGATTATAATGAAAAGAATTTGGTTGGATTGATATTAACGGGTAGTGAAAATACTTTTTGTTCGAGTTTAAGTAAATATATCAGTTAATTAATTAATATATAAATAAATATTATCATCATTATTTCTAATATTTAAGCATGGAAAAGGATTGTATAATTACGGGAAGAAAATGAGTTTACTTATGCAAGACACATTATTTAGACTCAATACTTTACCATTGATCTCTATGGCAGCCATGCATTAGATGGTGGAGCAGAACTAGCTACAGTTTGTGATCATAGATGTGCTTCAGATAAATGAATACATATGTTTTCCAAAAATCAATATTAAAATCTAAAATGCTATTATTAGAGAAACATAAGATTAGATTTGTACAAGTAAAAATGGCAGTTACGTCTGGACGGGAATAGATTAATTAATATAGTTGGTAGAAATAATGCATTAAAATTATTGAGGAAAAATGAATTGTTAAATTGTAATAATAATCATTAACAAGATAAACAAGGTATTATTGATATTGGATTTGTAGATGTGGTTTCCTAAGGAAGGAGGAATCATTAAAAATCAATAGAATTTTTTGATTCTTATATTTATTTTGATAGTAAGAAACCACAAATTGAAGAAAAACAAGGTGAAGAACATCATCAAAGAAAAAGAAATAGTGTTGATGCAGTAAGTAGTCTTTTTAGTATATGAACGAGTAAATAAATCATTATTATTATAATTATTTTTTTATATAAAAGGAATTAAATTATTAATAGCAAATCATAATTCAACAGAAATACAAAAAAAAATTATTAGGTATAAAAGAAATGTTGAAGCAATTTTGAAATCCAAAAATTAGCTTTAATAGGATAATTCTATAACCATTTAATAATTATTCCAAATAATCATTCCATTTGAAAAACTTACAAATCAATAAAATTTATTAAGTAGCACTCTGAATTAGAGTAATATTATCACCTTTCAACAAGATTCTTCCTAAGTAATAATATCAAGTAAGTGAATATTTATTAAAGAGAGGTAATAATAATAATTACTCAAGTTATTATTGTTAATACTATTTGTCATAATTTACCTAGTGATTTTCTAGACTTTTTCTTGACATTTATTTCTTCAGCATCATCAAGAACCAAATTCATAAATTCATCAAATCCCTAGCAAGTAAACAAACAAATTAGTTATTAATTTTACTCATCAAATGAATTATTTATTTGATTGATTGATTAGAGAAACTATTCACAATGATTTGTCCTTCAATTCTTAAATCTACTTGTTCATATAACCATATTTGAACTCTTGTTTTCTATTAAAATCAAACATTTATTATAAATTTATTTATAATATATACCATTTTTAAAAATAATTTTAAATATAATTACTTACATTTTGTAAATATTTAAAAATCAAATTCTAAAGAATTTACAAAAAGATAAATAAATCATCAATATATAAAAGAATGGAATACAATCTTTTTTAAAATACTTACAATGGGCTGAACCATAATCTTTTGAACTTTTGTTGCCATATTTGTATTTATATACACTATACACTATATATATTTATGACTTGAAGATTTGTTGATAATTTTGCTTTTGTGTGTAACATCCATCATTTAACAAAAATCGCTTTTTTAAATGTAATTTATTAAGGTTGTTACGACGAGTAAATTTATATTTTATGATAGGATCATAGATTAACTATATATTAATATTTTATAAAACTAAAATATAAATACGTAATAAAAAATAATAAAAAATAAATCATAAAATTAATAAATCATAAAATAATGAATTCAAAATCGTTAAAATCCACATCAATTATTTTATTTTATATCGTTTCAACAACTATACTTCTTTTTACTTCGTCAAACGAAGCTGTATGTAGTAATAAAGCGTTTTATGATAATTGTAGAAATACAGGCGACTTTAAATTAGCTTCTTGTCCACCATCGGATTATACTTGTCTATGTGATGCGCTCCAACGTATTTATTTATTTATTTTTGTCTAGAGACTTCGTTTTCATAATTAAATGATGTTTCTCTTGAAAAAAAAAAATATAGAAATTCAACTTTGTTTTCAACAATGTCGAGATGATCTTGATATTCAAAACGAAGGAAAAACCTACGAGGTAATTTTATTTATTCGTTTACTTAAATTTTAATTTTTTTCTGAATCGTCATCATCGTCATTATCACACTCCTCCTCTCATTCTAATTATTAACAATTATAATAATAACTAGTCTGTAGTCCGACAGTTTTGTGAGCTAACAGCATCAGCTAGTTCAACAACAACATCATCACCACAACCACCACCTGTAACACCTACTGTTAACCAATCATTAGCAACAACTTTTTTTGCACCAACTGGTAATTCTACATCATCATCGTCTGGCAGCAGCGTTCCAACAACCACAACCACCACAAAAACTACTAGTAATGCAAATAAATTATCATTATCCAATTGTGATGTCTTTAGTTTCCTTGTTAGTTGGTTACATTGTGATGATTTAAATATTAAAAAAGTAACCTTGATTATAATAATATAAGCATTTAGATTGTAATTAATATAATAATAAAAATACTTATAATAATTAATATAATACAGTGCATTTCGATTTAGTAAGCCTTAATTTTACTATTACTATTACAGATTTCGGGTTTAACGGAAACCAAATCCCACATAATTAATATTAATATTATAATAATAATTATTAACCTTGATATTATGTTTTTTATACAAAGCTCTCAATATGAAGTCCTTTGGGTAGCGGTATAATGATATGGTGATGTTTTTCAGGAAAAGGACTGGGCCCACTAATAAAAATAGAAGGCAGAATGAATAGTCAAGACCACACCCAGATATTAGAATCGTAGTTGCTCCCCCTATTTTCAATGCTCCAGTTCATACTGTTGAAACAAGCAAAGTAAAAATTGGCCAAGCCAATCTCTTGATAGAGCATCTGTGAAATCGGTTAGAAGTTCGTATTCGCAAGCGCCCAAATAGATTTAAGAAGAATGGAATCAATTACTTAGAAATATTTATATGGATTTGATGAAAAGTGTGCTGAGGAGAATAGAAGCTGTTATATCCAATAATGAGTGGCTAATAAATTATTGAGTTACATACAAACGAGCAAAATTTCAGGCATGTTTATTATGTGTGCCTAGGAAATTCCGCATACATATTCTTGAGAACTTTAGTCACGATTGGTAAAAATCATTTATATTTCTATTGTGTACGTTTTTGTGAGATTAATGGTTTTGTAACTGAAACTTTTGTAATAAATTACTTGTTTCTAACCTGTAATAGTAAAATGTGTAAATAGTTTACTCGGAAAAATTTATGTAACGTGATACAAATGGCGAAAATATTATAATATTAAATATTAATATTTGGATTATTTAATTAATAATTCCTAGAAAAGTATAAATAACAGAGGAAATAATGCTATTAGTTCTTGATAAAAGGCTCTTTAATCTTTAATTAGAAATTATTATAAAATATTTGATTAATAATCAAGAAGCAAATTATCCTGATTCGATGAAACTGGAATCTAGATGATAGTACTTCAACTTATTACAAGTGTTAGGTTTCTTTCATATATTTTTCTTTAGTTTTAGTTTTAATTATACTCTGCTAATTAATTATACAATTTTTAAGTTCCCGAGATGATACTTTAGAAGAATGCATATATATATCGAAAGACGTTCTTGACTAGGTTGAGTTAGAGATGTTAATAGTCCGTCCGGTCTGGTCCTTTGATTAGACTGAGCGGTCTTTGGACTAAACCAGTCCGAACCGGACCATTAATACCTAGTGTGTATATTATATTCAATGAATAATTTGGTCATCAATGGCAGGCAAATAAACTGTAAAATAGCTTAAGAAACATTTTGATTTGTATATATTATTAAATTACCTATCGAGATAATAAGGATAATATGATCTCCTATAATTTGGAGGTTATATGACGAGTTAATAATAAAGCTCTCGCCAAGTTTTTAACGAAAAGATTTGCTGCATAAATCTTAGCCAACCAAATTTTTTCAATAAAATTCTGTAACGTCGATCATTACAGTCCTCAAAAAGTTTTTTTTTTATTAATATTTAATTTAACTAGTTATCGATCTTGGCGTTTACAAATTTTTTATTTTCATACATGCTAAAATTTCTATTCTTGGGAATTTTGGAACGTTTCTAGTTATTGACGTAATATTGCATGTTTATTCCACTTATTTTAAAGCTCGGCAACCATTCCGATTTTTCCAATTTTATGCATAATGATAAAACAAAACAGTCTTTGCTTTTTTTGGGTGGGGCTAAAGTTTTCAACCCTACTATGACTATTTGCTAGCAGAAAAAATATTTTACTATTATTATCACCACAAAGGAAAAACAATTATTTATTAATGACAATTACTTTTGCTAACTACTTTTATAATTATCACGAAGGAAAATAGGTAAAAGTTTTTTAATTGGATTGGATAGTGCATATACTATTATTACTATTTACAGTCAGGTATTTTACCAAATTTGGAGATCAAGTCTATAACCTTTTGTCAATCGATTAACGTTCTTTGTGGAAAAAAGAAATAAATTCTGAATATATAATATATTGTAAGGATTCGCGCAACTTTACATACTAGTTTTTTTTTTCTAATGTATAAGAGAATTATTGACTTTTTTTCTATAATATTAATTTTTAAACATTAGACCAACTAATATATGCCATGTTTGTATGAAGAAAACCAGTCGATCAGTTGAATGTGCAAATCTCATTATCAAGTGTTTTCCAGAATTATCATTATTATTAAGTATAAGAAACTCCAAATAAATTATATTATTTACAATGGTGGCTATTGATTTTGATTATATTTACTATTATTATGGAAAAATTTTTTTTAACAATAATAAGTTCACTTTCTCTATAATGTACCATATTTGGCTTAGAATCTGTTATAGTTTGTATATTAAATTCTCAGCCCGTATAAGTTTGTTTGTAAATTATTTCCAATGATATGTCAATATTTAATAGCACCTTCAGAATGTTTTAAAGGAATAAAAATCATTACAAGTTGAACAAGTGATATATCACAATAATATGCTATATATTAGGCATCTTTGACATTGCTTAATCCTGGATGGGCTTGTATAAAATTTTTTATTTTTTCAGTGTCACATAGCAAATTAGAAATTCCAAATTTGGCAAAGTACCACTGTATTATATACTATCTTCGTTTTATTCGTTAAAAAATTTCACGTGATTAAATTACCGGTTAAAGAGTTTGCCAACCTCCAACTAGATTTATTCTATATTCTATATATTTCCAATGGTTATTATTAATAAGAAATTCTGTGTCAAAAGTTTGTAAATTGATTGTGAAAATACCATGCCTGATTCTGAACTAGAGGTTTATATTCTATCTATATTCCTGTGGTGATTATTAATAAGAAATTTGTGTAATGTTACAAGATTATAACAAAGTTGTTTCACTTTTTTAGCTCTTTTTACTTTTTGAAGTCTTGAGGATTCAGAGAAATCGTTTGGAAAATTCCGGCTGCAATACACAAAATGCGTGTAATTATATGATGTTGATGGATGACATTCCTATTTAAGTTACTTCTTTATTTAAATATCGATATTGTGTAATTAACTATTTAAAAAAAATTGATAATAATAATAATATTTGTTTTGCGTGCGATTTTTTTTATTACTGGGTTCAAGTTGAGTCCTCTTCAAGTCGAAACTTATTCTTAAGCCAAGGCTTGTTATGGAATTTTTATCTATTAATATTATTATAAAAAAATTATCAATGATATATATTAAAATCTTCATAATTTTGTAGTAATAGAAAGATTTTTTTCAAATTCCTCAAAATGTTGGACAATTTGCTTTAAAAGTTTAAAATGAATTTGATTGGTCCAAAATAATAATTCAGTCGAAGATAAACTTGGTTATCAGTTTATTGACAACATCAATCTTATCTATCACCTCGTTTTGAATTCTTCAATGTGAGCGATATCTTTTTACGGCATATCTTTATATGCTGCTGACATGTATCTGAAGAAAACTTCCTGATTTCTTCCAAAGTAACATGTTCAAGTGCTCCTGGAACAATTTTCTGCAAAACGTACAAGCCTACAGTCACAATTATCTCTTGCATTTTGCTTTTGCCTTTCCTCAAATTTTAGCACTAAAAAATTGTGCAAACTATCACCAAAGAATTAGTTGGACCTTTCATGTCCAAACTTTTTTTTTTAAAAAAACAAATAATAACAATATTATTATCATCATTAACAACAATAAAAAGGCTTACGGATACGCCTTTATTACTTATAAAAATACTCTTTAAAACAAATGGAAAAAAAACTATCAGCAACAGCATATAAGACACTTGCCCCAGATACGGTCGCAAACACCCTGGATGTGGCGATGATACAATTTGTGGAAATTGTGAAGGAGGAGAAAAATGAGTTAGAGACAAGTTAGACAAGGCAGGAAAAAAGCGAGCTTGTATTTTAACATATAATTTATTATTAATCAACTAAATTCAGAAACTTTTTTTTTAATTAAAATAAAAACAAATTGAGAAGCATTTTTTTTTAATAATAAAATAACAATGATATAATTATATGCGTGTATGAATGATTATGATTATAAAGAAATGATTGTGTAATTGGTTTAATTTCTAAAATAATTTAAATGTAAACTTTTTTAAATCTATTATTTTTTTTTTTTCCCAAAAAAAACCAATTATCATCTTCATTAAAAAATATGAATGACGATAAGGGTAAATTTAATAATAAATGATAAAATGATAAATAAATAATAATAAATAATCAAATCAATCAATTAGTAAATTGTAAATAATAAAACCCTTAACGTTTCTAATCGAAAAAAATTTTTTTGGCAGCAAACAGCCAGAACAAATCAAAATAATAATAACAATGAACGATCACTACCAAGAAATCAATCTGTGTTATCACCAAAACAGATCCAATTATCATCATCTACGCCAAATAAACCAAGAAAACAATGATACAATGAACACCAATGTAACACCACTACCAACACAACAACAAAAATCACGGGTGGTGAACCTGGATTGTTTGAAGTTTCATCTCAAGGCGAAATTTTGCATGAAGGTATCCCTCAAAACAAAGAAGTTGAACATCATATTCTAAATTGAAGGAAATTGCTTCTGAAAAACTGAAAATGTGGAATATCTTGGAATCATTAAAGACAGGACGCCTCAATGACTCATAAGTAACGTAATAAATTATTTATCTATTATAAAAAAAAAGAATCTGCACTTGGTAAATATGTCACAGCCGTAAGGTATGCATTATGTACAGTATATTCTCGTATATATATTAATATTTGTAAATCAATCAATTGTTGGCGGTATCCCTTCACATTCAGTTCAAGCAATGATGGTTAGATCAAGTGGTCCAGTAGATGAAGAACAATTGGTTAAAGCGCTCAAGTAAATTAATTATTGTTATAATTAATAGAAAGAAGCTGAACACATGAGACGAATTCCTAGAAGTGGATTAGGCACAAAAATAATCAAAGCTACTGAAAGACTTGAACATGTTATCAAAATTGAAAAAGGAGAAGAAAACCAACCGGTTATTTTACCATCTTTAGTTACAGCAGCAGGAAACACTCCTCCTATTAACACTAACAGAAATAATAGTCAAGACTTCAACCTTGCACGTTCATTTGGTCAATAACAACAACCAATTGCTTCCTTCGCTGCCACAGTTTCGGAAAAAGATGGCCCCGTTCATGAAGGTGTTCCACAAAGTAAAGGATTTATACATGCAAGAAGTGATCTGCCGCAGCAACTGCACGTAAATATTGTTTTTAAATAGTTATTACTATTTTTGGAAAATAACCCATAATTTATTTGTCCCTTCTAAAAAAAAATGAATCTGCTATGGGGAAATATGCTACTGAAACTAGACAAATAAATAATAATCATTTTAATTATACAAAAAAAAACTAGTGAGGAAATTGTAATTCCATCGTTGACAGCCCAAGAATTGGTTAAATTAGCCGGATATTCTATCTATGAAACTAAATTGGTTCAAGAGTTAAAAGTAATTGCTATTATTACTCATTAATAATATTATTATCGATTTATTGTAATAATAATAGTAGTAGTAAATTAGGAGGAAGCACAGAAACGTGCAGGGCATGAACAACAAACTTTCAATCGTGTACCACTTATAGGATCAGCAACCAAAGTTAAAGAGGCAACCGAAATATTTGAAAATTTCCTTAAAATTGATGAAAATAAATGCGTACCACCAACTGAAGAAAAACAATTGGGAGAAACATCTCAACAGCAAGGACCACAGGAATTGAAACAATAAGAACAAAATTCAAGCTTGGCAAATTCTATTGATAATGCAGCGACTCAACAATGAACGAACACAACTCATTAAATTAAGAAAAAAATACCTTGCAGATTAAAAATTTTTTTAAATAAATCTTAAAAAAGCATATAATAATAAATAATAAATAATAATGGCAATGAATTAGATTTTAAAGATTATAGTAATTATATTTTGCTTTTAAATAAAAAATATTAATTTAAAATAGCATTGATGAATGATGACTCAAAGAGATAAAAAAAAAATTATAAAATCTGAATGGATAAACGATGATGGAACGAATCGTGATCCTAATCATTCAATCAAACCATCTGGGCATCGTTGCTTATCTCTTTGAACAAATATGGATAAGATTCTTTGGATCTAATAACTAATTTCTTAAAAAGGAAATTATTGATTAATTAATTATACATAAAAAGAGTAGAATGTCACATTGTTTTAATCTTTCTTCCCCTTCCACAGTTTCATTATAATAGACACGTGCGTGTGTATAACCTTTAAAATTTCAAAATATTGAAAAATTTAAATTCAAAAGAATCAGAAAATTGATTGTTAATTGGGAATGAATACTTGTTTATTATTAACTTTCAATTAATTGAATTATCGTTCAACTAATTACTTGGCTTGGTGTTGATTAGTTCATTAGTTTAGTTGTTGATCATTCATTGGACTAATAAAGAAATTAATTAATTAATTAATTAAACTGTTAGGGATTAAGTTACAAGGGTTCGTGGAAATTCCCTAGTAAATATAGAAAAAACATTGTTGTAATTTTGGTAAAAAAATTATCATTCGCACAACAAATAGTTTCATATAAATAATTAAAACTACCTAGAAATTAACCATTTTTAATGATTGGAAAAAACATAAGAGGAAATAAAATGTTGTGTGCAAATATTTATGCAAATTTATCCTTGTTTCAAAAATTGTAATTATACAGCGCTATAAAACTTTAAAATTTCTTTTTATGTATTACAATAAAAAACGACCGTCACAAAATTCTTCATAATAAATTAACGAGAACGACGTACATGTGAAACGTATTATAATAATGGAAATTTTTTTTAATTGTAAAAACGTATATATGTATATAATGTTAATTGATAGATCGATTTTTATTTCATTATATAAGAAGTAAAATTTTGACATTTCTCAAGACAAAATAATTTCCTCAATAATATTACAATAATAATAATAATAATCATAACTAATAATAATTTTTTTTTTTTTTGATAAAAGAAAAAAATAAATTTTTTTAATAATTAATTTCCTTTAATTTAATAAACATTTTCTTCTAATTTAAACATAAACAAAATATTTTAGCGAAAATGCAATCGTCAATCTTACTTTTAATTACTATCGCTTTGTCAATTTGTTCTTTCCTGCAATCAGTAGACGCCCTTAATGAAAGAACCAAGAGTCAAGATGTTTGTAAGAATGCAAAAGTACTTGAAAATGGAGAACAAATAAGAGGAGGCTCATGCTCAGTTACTGTTCAGGGTGAAATACCTAACGAAAACAGTATGGTCTCTACCACTATTTTCTTCCCTCCTAATGGTGGAGTTATCCAAGCAAAGAAAACTTTTACTATTGTCACAAAAACAATCAATTTGAACACTGGATTTTTCAGTGATCCCGCAAAAGAATATTACATCTTTCCTCAAACCTTAGGCAAAAATGGTCTAATTCAAGGACACAGTCACGTAACCGTTCAAAAATTCGAAAATGGCCAACAGATACTAGATCCAAAAAAGTTTGCGTTCTTCAAAGGTTTAAACAATAATGCCAAGGTTAACGGTGAATTGAATTTAGAAGTTCCCGGTGGTCTCGATGTTGGCAGCTACAGATTATGTACAATGGTTTCATCGTTTACTCATCAACCTGTTTTAATGCCTGTTGCTCAACGTGGTGCTCAAGATGATTGCGTTAGATTTAAGGTTGCGAATCAGGGTAAAAAAAAAAGAAGTCTTAAGAAGAGATACGTTAATTAATAAAAAAATTTGATATTATTATTTTACTACTTTCATTATGATAACATCACACCATCATTGCGTTATTATTATTGTTGTACTATTTCAAAAAAAAGAAAGAGAAGAGAAGAAATAAAGATGGAAACAAAGGACTGGTTTTTCTTTTTTCTTATTCATTATTTTTCTTTTTTTTTTTTTTACTTTATTACAGTAATTCTTTGTAAATTATATAATTATAGAGATATGTGCTAAAAATTTTCCTTTAAACTGTTTCATATTTTATTTAAATAAAATTTTAATTTGTAATTTAATATAAAGAATAAATAACTGTAAAATGAAATCTAAATCCATAAAACGTAC